TGCCGCCTCCTGGAACCCCTGCTCCTAACTGCCCTCCAGAACCCCACCCCCTACCTAAGCCTCCCTGTTCCTTGTCCCCTAACTGCCCGCTCCTAAGACCCCTCCACCCTAACTGCCCCCCAGGACCCTACCCCCTACCTGTACCCTGACTGCCCAAAACCTTATCTACACACTCTCCAGAAAGCCCCCCCCGGACTCCCGACCCCCTCCCATCTCTTAACTGCCCCCTCCAGAACCTCCCTGCCCCTGCTCCGACCCCCTTACCCTGCCGCTCGTCCCAGCACGCTGGGGAGCGGGGGAGGAGCTCCAGACTGCAGGAGGCGATCTGCGAATGCAGGGAGGGAGGGAGTGATCTCTGCTGCAGGGGAAGCGGAGGAGGGGCTCTCTCTGGCTGTCGGGACCCCATGTAAGTGTCACCATCCGTCCGGCTGCCCTGTTAGCCGCGCGCGCTCTGCAGTGGGGGGGGGGGGGGGGAGGGGAGTTCAGACATTTATAAATTCCCCCCGGACGCTATTTTTAGCTCAAAAAGCCGGACATGTCCGGGGGAATCCGGACGAATGGTTACCCTTCTTGCCATGTAGACAAGCCCTTTGAGAGCCTTCTAGCTATTTTGCGCTAACTTCCCTGTGAAGACAAGGCCTTAAGCTCTGTGCTTCAGTTCCACTACTCATAAAATGGATACAATACATAGTTCTACTTACCTCTCTGGGGAGTTGTGAAAGTGAACCTTAATAAAGGTTTGGAAAATGCTTTGAAGTTGAAAAGTGTTATGTATCAACTTATTTTTATATATTTCTATTCTTCATCCTGATGTGCTGCCATAAACAAACAGGTAATTCTTTTACAGTATTCTAGCTAGGTTCAGTAAGAGAAGTAATAATGTTCTAGCCCAAGTATGCATACAGATATTGAAGAACAGCTAGTGTTTTAAAACTTACTTTTAAAAGAAGTAGTGAATCTGGTTAATATTTTAGATATCCATTCCCTTGACAATAAAGCAAATTTATATGCTCTCCAAATACATAAATTCCCTCTTCAGACAGCCCCAAGAAAAGCTTTCAGACCCTTGGAAATTGTACAGAAGGTAAAATTTACAGTAAAATACCAAAGTGAGAGAGCAGCCAGAAGAAACATAGTATGTTATCCATTTTAACAAACTTGTGTGCCAACACAGTCATCATCACATATTAAACACACATTTTTACAAAAAAACAGAAATATTTGTGCACACAGACCATAATTATTTTCCTATATAAATTACAAGCATTTCTACGCAGTAAAATAATGGGTCAGACATATGTTAAGTTCTGTAATTTCAACCAATTGTACAGTAGGATAATTCAAACGCAATGTTAGCACTTAGCTAAACAATCATTCTTTGGCATCCACAGTGTCAGCTAAGACATATGACCGAGAATTTCTGCTGGCCTGTGCCAAAAACATAAAAGTCAAAGGAATTGGACTAGCCGAGTGTGTGCATATATATATTTATTTTATTTACACACACATGTGCATGCAGACACACACTTGCATCCTGTCCAATTTTTTTGAATACATCTCTACCTTGATATAATGCGACCCGATATAACACGAATTTGGATATAACGCAGTAAAGCAGTGCTCCTGGGGGGCGGGGCTGCGCACTCCAGTGGATCAAAGCAAGTTCGATATAATGCGGTTTCACCTATAACGCGGTAAGATTTTTTGGCTCCCGAGTACAGCGTTATATCAGGGTAGAGGTGTATTAACATTCAATTGATACGACTGGTTTGATAAATGTGTTATCAGAGATTTCACTTGATTTAATAAGATCATTAAAAATGTCAATGTCATGGTTAAAAGATGCTCACTCTAACATGTTCCAGAATGGCAGCCATGTTAGTCTGTATCAGCAAAAACAACGAGGAGTCCTTGTGGCAACTTAGAGACTAGCACATTTATTTGGGCATAGGCCAGGGGTAGGCAACCTTTCAGAAGTGGTGTGCCAAGTCTTCATTTATTCTCTTTAATTTAAGGTTTCGCGTGCCGGTAATACATGTTAACGTTTTTTAGAAGGTCTCTCTCTCTATAAGTCTATATTATATAACTAAACTATTGTTGTATGTAAAGTAAACCAGGTTTTCAAAATGTTTAAGAAGCTTCCTTTAAAATTAAATTAAAATGCTGATCTTACGCCGCCAGCCTGCTCAGCCCGCTTCCAGCCTGGGGTTCTGTTCACCTAGGCCTGCAGTGGGCTGAGCAGGGTGACTCGAGGTCAGGGGAGAGGGCTGGGGTGTGTGAAGGCGCAGGGCAGAAGGCTGGGTGTTGGGGG